GGTCCTCTATGCACTATAGAACCCCTTCAGGTTATCTAAGGACCATAGAAGAGCTTCAGGTCATCTATGGACCATTGAAAAGCCTCAGGTCATCTATGGACCATAGAACCCCTTCAGGTAGTCTATGGACCAAAGAAGAGCTTCAGGTCATCTATGGTCCATAGAAGAGCTTCAGGACCTCTATGGACCAACAAAGATTTGTATGGACCATATAAGACCTTCATGTCCTTTATAGAAGACCTTCAGGTGCCCTATGGAGACCTTCAGATCCTCTATGAACCTTAAAAGACCTTCTTGTCCTATATAGCATATAGAAGACCTTCAGGACTTCTATGGACCATATAAGACCTTCATGTCCTTTATAGAAGACCTTCAGGTCCTCCATTGACTATAAAAGACCTTCATGTCCTTTATAGAAGACCTTCTTGTCCTCTATAGTATATGGAAACCTTCAGGTCCTCTATAGCATACAGAAGATCTTCAGGTGCTGCAGCACACCTTCAGGAAAACCTCCAGATTCTCTATGGACAATAGAAGTCGTTCGGGTCCTCTGTGACTATAAAAGACCTTCAGTGAAATTCTCCACTTCTACCATGGACTATATAGGACCTCCAGATCCTCTATGGACTGGAGACAACCTCCAGCTCTCCTGTGGCCTAAGTAAGAACTACTCTCTCTCTTCTGTGGACTATAGAAAACTTCTAGCTTTTTATTGCCAACATATGACGACCTGTGAGCCTCTATAGGCCTTCTATAGAAAAGTTTGAAATTCAGTAAAATTCTCCATTTCTACCAAGGACTATATAGGACCTCCAGATCCTCTATGGACTGTAGACAACCTCCAGCTCTCCTGTGGCCCAAGTTGGAACTACTCTCTCTTCTGTGGACTATATAAAATGTCCTGTTTTTTTTCAACAGATGACAACCTGTAGGCCTCTATAGGCATTCTATAGAAAAATGTATTTTTTATATAACATGTGTGCCATCGAATGTTACACGACCACCACCACCACCATCATCATTGTCGTTATCGTCATCGACATCACGCTCGTGGCCGCTGGCTTTGGTTTAATTCCCAATTCCCGATACGCTTTCGTTCAGCTCAATTGACGATTAATTGCTTATAATTATAGCTGGGATCTGGTGGCGGCGATCGGTCGATCGATCGATGGCAGTCGCCTGGCATTGCGAGTGAGATAGGGGTGGGCGGGAGCGGTGGCACCCCCTCCTAAATGTATTTTTCCATTAAATCACAAAACCGAAAAAGGTTGGCGTTTGTAAATGGTTCGCTTTGCGATTGTCATGTTTCAATAATTTTTTTTTCTTTGGTCGATTATATTTTTTAATTGCTTCTTAATAACCAACAACAAAATAAATAAATCAAAAAATCATTTGAAAAAATAATAATTATTCAAAATTGAAAATTTTTATATTTTCATAGCTGGGCCTGGCGACGCCGGCACACCTACAAAATATTGGGCGTATTCGAAACTGAGGTATGACTGGAAAACTAAAATAGTTTCTGACAAGGTTTAATTATTCTTAGATCATCCTACGAAGATCATACTCTGTACTGGAATTGAGAACTTCAATGTTTAGTCAGGTCATCTATGGACCATAGAAGAGCTTCAGGTCAACTATGGTCCATAGAAGAGCTTCAGGTCATCTTTGGCCCATAGAAGAGCTTCAGGTCATCTATGGTCCATAGAAGAGCTGCAGGTCATCTATGGTCCATAGAAGAGCTTCAGGTCATCTATGGTTCATAGAAGAGCTGCAGGTCATCTATGGTCCATAGAAGAGCTTCAGGTCATCTATGGTCCATAGAAGAGCTTCAGGTCATCTATGGTCCATAGAAGAGCTTCAGGTCATCTATGGTCCATAGAAGAGCTTCAGGTCATCTATGGTCCATATAAGAGCTTCAGGTCATCTATGGTCCATAGAAGAGCTGCAGGTCATCTATGGTCCATAGAAGAGCTGCAGGTCATCTATGGTCCATAGAAGAGCTGCAGGTCATCTATGGTCCATAGAAGAGCTGCAGGTCATCTATGGTCCATAGAAGAGCTGCAGGTCATCTATGGTCGATAGAAGAGCTGCAGGTAATCTATGGTCCATAGAAGAGCTTCAGGTCATCTATGGTCCATAGAAGAGCTTCAGGTCATCTATGGTCCATAGAAGAGCTTCAGGTCATCTATGGTCCATAGAAGAGCTTCAGGTCATCTATGGTCCATAGAAGAGCTTCAGGTCATCTATGGTCCATAGAAGAGCTTCAGGTCATCTATGGTCCATAGAAGAGCTTCAAGACCTCTATGGTCCTATGGAGAACTTCAATGTTTAGGAAAATCTATTGAATGGAGATTTTTCTTCACTTGGTCCCACAGCTCAATTTCATGGCTTAGAAACCCAATCGTCACAATTTCCCCGAAATATACCCCTCCATGTTGAGATGTCAAAACGTTTACCCTCCTCCAACCCCTTGTGACAGCTTTGTGCAATGAGTAACCGTATGAGTAATGCATCTAATTGAGGTAACACATTTGCTGTGCTCTCCACTTGAAATAGTCCGACATAACCTCATTAATATTCTTTTGTAATTTTCGCACATTATGATGAGAATTTCCATATTTGACAAGAACAAATTGCCGACAAATAATACAACAACAACAAAATAATTTTATGACTGTTCCTAAAACTAAATTTGACACTCCCTAAGTTTGTCGAGACATGGATGACTTAATGTCTGAGATCATCAGACAATATTATGCGAAATAGTTGAATCTAATCACTTAGAAAATACTTGGGAGGCATCCTAACCATGGAAGATCTTTCTATTGTCCACTGAGAGCCTAGAGGTCTTTTTTTCAGTTTGGAGGATCGAAGTTCTCCTTAAACGTCTTTAATAATTCATAAATATCTTCAATAGTCCAAAGAGATCTGAAGGTCTCCTGTAGTCAATAGAGGATCTGAGGGACCTCTATAGTCCATAAAGAACCTAAAACTTCTTTTTAGATCATAGAGCCCCTGAAGATCTTCGATAGTCCATAGAAAATCTTAAGTTCTTATAAAGACAAAAGAGGGCCTGACTGCCTTCCATAGCCCATAAAGGACGTGAAAGTCATACATAGTGAAAAAGCAGCTGAAGTTGTTCTATAGTCCATAATGGAGTCAGAAAGTCAGATATTATCCATAGAGTCCTAAAAGGCCTCAGAGGCCCATAGAGGACCTAAGGGTTTGCTATTGTCCATTGAGGACCTTAATGTCTTCTATTGTCCATTAAAGACCTATAGATATTCTGTAGGCCATAGAGGATCTCAGGTCATTTATTGTCCATAGAGGAACTGAAGGTCTTCTACTGTCCAGAGAGGACCTGATGGTCTTCCATTGTCCACAGAAGACGTGAAGGCATTCTATAACCCATAAATGACCTGAAGGTATTATATAATCCATAGAGAAAGTAAGAGGGTTCCGTAGTCCACAGAGGACCAGGAAGTATTCTAATCTATTCTACCACGAAGTATTTACACAGAAGACCTGAAGGTCTTCAGTGGCCAATTTAGAACCTGAAGGTATTATATAATCCATGGAGAACCTAAGAGGGATTCTGTAGTCCACAGAGGACCAGGAAGTATTCTATACTCCATTGATGACCTGAAGGTATTCTATTGTCCATAGAGGATCTGTTGGTCTCCTCTTAACCATAGACGACTTGGAGGTCTTCTATAACCCATAGAGGACCCGAAGGTCTTCCATTAACCATGGAGGACCTGAACATCTTCTATTGACTATAGATGACCTGAAAAAGTTTTACTGTAGGTCATATATTGCCCATTGAGGACCTGAAGGTTTTCAATTGTCAACAGAGGACCTGAAGGTCTTTTACTGTCCATAGAAGACCTCAAGGTCTTCTGTAGGCCATGGAGGACCTGAAGCTCACCTATAGACCATAGAGGAGCTGAAGGTCTTCTATTGACCATAGAGAGCCTGAAGATATTCTATAGTTCAGCGAGGACCTGAAGATCTTCTTTGAACATAGGGAACCTGAAGGTATTCTACGGTCCATAGATGATCTGAAGGCCTTCTATAGTCCATAGAGGACCTGAAGGTCATCTATAGGCCATGGAAGATCTGAAGTTCATCTATAGGCCATAGCGAACCTGAAGGTATTCTACTGTCCATAGAGGGCCAGAAGGTTTTCTATTGCCCACAGAGAACCTGAAGGTCTTCTATTACCCATAGAGAACCAGAAGGTCTTATATGGTCTATTTAGTCCTGAAGGTCTTCTATTACCCATAGAGAACCAGAAGATCTTCTATAGTCCATAGAGGACCTGAAAGTCTTCTACAGTCAATAGAGAACCTGAAGGTCTTCTGCAGCCCATAGAGGTCCTGAGGGTCTTCTCTTGCCCATAGATAACCTGAATGTCTTGACAGTAGAGGTTCTGAAGGTCTTCTGTTACCCACAGAGGAACTGAATGTCTTCTCAAGGTCTTCCATTGAAAATAGCAGACCTCAAGGTCTTCTATTGGAAAATAGCAGACCTCAAGGTCTTATATTGGAAAATAGCAGACCTCAAGGTCTTCTATTGGAAAATAGCAGATCTCAAGGTCTTCCATTGAAAATAGCAGATCTCAAGGTCTTCCATTGAAAATAGCAGACCTCAAGGTCTTCCATTGAAAATAGCTGACCTCAAGGTCTTCTTTTGGATAATAGCAGACCTCAAGGTCTTCTATTGGAAAATAGCTGACCTCAAGGTCTTCTATTGGAAAATAGTAGACCTCAAGGTCTTCTATTGGAAAATAGCAGACCTCAAGGTCTTCTATTGGAAAATAGCAGACCTCAAGGTCTTTTTTTGGTGGATTTCTGACATTTCCAGAATTTTTATTTAATTGCAGCATTTTTCCCAGCCATGTCAACCCAACGTCGTCCCGCTCAGATCCAGTTTTTTCAATTACCAGAACAAATAATTTTTATTTAATATTTAATTTCTTTATTTTACTTTTTCAGATAATAAAACCTAAAAAAAACCTAACAGTATTTACATGTGTAACAAATTGAAAGAGGAAAACTTGTGACAAGTGTTGTTGCACAATAATAACAACAACAAGAATTACAAAAAACACAAAACCCCTTGAGATAGGTCTAGAAGGGCAACCACAACGCATTTCGACGCCCTTGCCTGGAAATTATCTTCGAAACTTTGAGTTGTTTAACAAATCAAACAAATGTCGTTCAAAAGAAAATACTATCGTGTCTTATAGTCCTAGAAGTTCCGAGTGTACAATCCCCCCGTCGTTCGTTGTAAAAAGAAATTTTGTCTTAAGTGTTTATTTTTTGTTCCAAGTCAATGAGAATTATTTGCGCGTTGTAGCAACATTGTAGCCGTAAAGTAAACAAAACTAAAGTGAAGATAAGTCGCAATTCATTTCCCCCATTTTCACAATTTCGACCTCCCCTCACTACCCACCACACACCACACCAATGGCCACAAATTGTGAATATATCGAGGAAAATTTGAATCAAAATCAAAAATGTCCCATTTCAAATTCCGCCTCCATGTCCTCAATGACGCACGAAGAGAAACAGGATAGCGCCGCGGAGAAGTCACAGAGCAAAAGTTCCTTTTCGGATATGTCATCGGAAATGGGTAGCGGAGGATGCCTGCGGCAGAATGGCACCTCTCCACTGCCGCCGCATTTTTTGCCCAGCATTGGAGATGATGTCTTCGAGCATGCCTTTGATGCCTCAATGGCGGATTTGGAACACATGGGTCACAATGATGGTTATGAATCGGATTCGGAGCCCTCGCTAAGTGGAGATATTGACATGGACCTACATCCGGCTCCTTTACATGCTTCGAACAGCGATAATATGACCTGTACCACCGGCTTGGGTAGTGGGGTGCTACATCCCTTTCCCCGGGCGAAATCATTTGAATATCACAGCAGTGGTTCGGAATCATCATCCGAGGAGGAGGATGGTGAGCCCCAGCTGGAGGGTGACATGCAGGCGGCCCTAAGTCTATCGGGGAAATACTACACCCCCGACATTTTTCAAATGCGTCCCTATCTGATGCCCTTCACCGAACGTCGACGCCTCTCCCAATGCAAGGAGGAAGATGAAGATGATGGCGAGAAGTCACCACAGCCTCAGAATTCCGAACAGCCACCTAAATTTGAGCGCAACAACAAACCCACACCCCCTCCACCCCCGCCGCCGGTCAGTGACAAAGTCAATGCCGAGAAATTTAAGGACTTGGAGAGGTTGCGCCAGCAGTTTATGCACAAAATCGATAGCATCAATACCAACAATGTGGAGGACATCAAGACGGTCACCGTGGCCCCGGAGCATACCTCTCCACCGCCGCCACCACCCATACCGCCTACAATTCTCCCACCGGCCCTCATCAATCTCCTGGAGTCAGCCAAATCCACCTCAACCATGCTCAAGTTGCCAAGCACCTCCTCCACCACCAACAAACCCCAGCTCAAAGTTGAGCCACCCACCCCCGGCACACCGTCCAGCAATGAACCACCCTCCCCCTCCACCCTCGTAATTAAGGGCAAATTTACCGTCACCAAAACCCAAGAGACCCCCGAATTGCAGCAGCTGCGTTCCGAGGCCGACAAACTGAAACATTTGAATGCTGCAACAAATGCCCATACCATCAGTTTTCCCAGCCAATTTGGTGGCTACTCCTCCGTGCAGGGCCTCTTCTCTCAGCGCTATGGCAGCAATAAAACGCCCACCGCCCAGCCGCATCTGTCCAAACAATTCTTCGACAGTTCCCTCGTGGAGATCAGATCACCGGCCGAAAGTACTTCATCGCTGAACAGCAACACTCACAACAGCAACCAAAACATAAGTCCAAACTGTGATAGTAGTAGCATAGGAACAACAGCAACAAATCGGAATTCAATTCCAACAACACCCCTATCATCGACAACAAAAGTTCGTTCCATATCCCTGTCGGAGTACTCACCCTCATCCGCAAAATATCGTGAATATCCCCATTTGGATGATGTTTGGATTAAACGTCCCGCCAACGGTGCGACCACAACCACGACCACCACTCCGAAGACTCCCCAATTTCCCGTTAAAACGGGCAGTTCAATGGGTTCGGAATCTTCGTTGCCAAAGAAACAATACTACACCGATGACAGTGCGGCCGAGAGTGGCCGCACCACGGCAGTGCAATCGGAAGATGTAAGTTTGGAAACTATTCAGAATTTTTTCTTTTAAATATTTTAATAGACCCAAGAAGATAAACAGGTCTTCTATAGGCCATAGACGACCTGAAGGTCTTCCATAGTCTAAAGAGGACTGAAAAGTCTTCTATAGTCCAACAATGAAATGAAGATTTCCTATTTTGAGGTCTTCTGTAGTTCATAGATGACATTGAGGTCGTCTATAGCCCATAGGTGAGCTTGAGCTCTCCTATAGTCCATAGGTCTCCTAGTCTCTTAAAGTCTTCTATAGTCCATAGGAGAGCTTGAGTTCTATAGTCCATAGGGGAGCCTGAGTTCTCCTATAGTCCATTGGAGAGCTTAAGTTCTCCTATATTTTATAGGAGAGCTTGAGGTCTCCTATACTCCATAGGTGAGCTTAAGGGCTCCCGTAGTCCATAGGAGAGTTTAGATTCTCCTGTTGTCCATAGGATAGTTTAAGGTCTCCTATAATCCATAGGAGAGCCTGAGGTCTCCTATAGTCCATAGGAGAGCCTGAGTTCTCCTATAGTCCATAGGAGAGCTTGAGGTCTCCTAGAGTCCATAGGAGAGCTTGAGGTCTCCTATAGTCCATAGGAGAGCTTGAGGCCTCCTATAGTCCATAGGAGAGCTTCAGGTCTCCTATAGTCCATAGGAGAGCTTGAGGTCTCCTATAGTCCATAGGAGAGCTTCAGGTCTCCTATAGTCCATAGGAGAGCTTGAGGTCTCCTATAGTCCATAGGAGAGCTTCAGGCCTCCTATAGTCCATAGGAGAGCTTGAGGTCTCCTATGGTCTATAGGAGAGCTTCAGGTCTCCTATGGTCTATAGGAGAGCTTGAGGTTTCCTATAATCCACAGAGGGCCTGAAAGTATTCTATAGTTCATAGGGGACCTGAAGTTCCTCTAAAGTCCATAGAGGACCTGAAGGTCTTCTATTGCCCATAGAGGACCTCAAGGTCTTCTATAGTCCAGCGAGAACCGGAATATCTTTAAAGTCATTAGACGACCTGCAGGTTTTTTATAGTCCGTAAATGACCTGCAGGCCTTCCATAGTTCATAGAGGACCTTGAGGTCTGCTATAGTCCAGAGGAGTATCTGATGGTTCTTCTTTGGCCCATGAAGGACCTGCGAGGCTTCTATGGTCCATAGAGGACCTGAAGGTCTTCTTTGTTCCATTGAGGACTATTGAGGGCCATAGAGGTCTTCTTTACTCCATTGTTCATAGAGGACCTGAAAATCTTCTATGGTTCATAGGGAACCTGAACATCTTCTATGGTCCATAGAGCACCTGCAGGTCTTTTATAGTTTATAGAGGGCCTGAAGGTCTTCCATACTCCTTGGAAGACCTGGTGCACTTCTATAGTCCTTAGAGGACGTGTATGGCATCTAAATGTCATAGAGGACCGGAAGGTCACAGAGGACCGGAAGGTCACCGAAAGGCCATAGAGGACGTGAAGGTTTTCTGTAGTCCAAAGAGGACTTGGAGGTTTTCTAAAGGCCATAGACGATCTTAAGATCACGTATAGCTCATATAGGTCACATATAGCTCATAGGTCCATATGGGACCTGAAGGACGTCTATAGGTCATACAATACCTTGAGGTCTTCTCTTGTTCATAAAGGACCTTCTATGGTCCATATAGGACCTGTAGTTCTTCTTTGTTCCATTGAGGAGCACCGAAGTCTTCTATACTTCTCTTGTACATAGAGGACCTTAAGGTCTTATTTGGTTCAAAGAAAAACTGAAGGAACTGTCTGTCTTCTATAGGACCTCAAGGTCTTATATAGTCCACAGATAGTCTGATATAGTCCACTGATGACCTGCTGGTTTTCTATACTTCACAGATGACCTACAGGTCTTCTAAAGTCCGTAGATGTCCTGCAGGACCTATAGGTGTTCTATACTCTATGGAAACCCTGTAGGCCTTCAATACTCCGTAGAGGATCTGTAGGCCTTCTATACTCCGTAGAGCACCTGTAGGTCTTTTATTATCCTCAGAGGACCTGAGTATCTTTTAAAGTCATCAGAGGACCTGAAAGTTTTCTATAGTCCGTAGATAGTCTGATATAGTCCACTGATGACCTGCTGGTTTTCTATAGTTCTATGGATGACCTGCAGGTCTTCTAAAGTCCGTAGATTTTCTGCAGGACCTGTAGGTGTTCTATACTGTATAGAGACCCTGTAGGCCTTCTATACTCCGTAGAGGACCTGTAGGCCTTCTATACTCCGTAGAGCACCTGTAGGTCTTCTATTGTCCTTAGAGGTCCTTAAGGTCTTCTATAGCCCATAGAGGACCTGAGGGTCTTTTATTGTCCATAGAGAATATATAGGTCCTCTATAGCCCATAAAGAATCTAAAGCTCTTCTATAGTTCGTAAATGCCCTTTTTGGTAACGGAAAGAAATGTTGTCAGGGCTTAGAGGTCCCCACTGTATCTGATTAAATGAATGCGTATGCAGGCATGCCTGCCTGTTCGTTTGCTTTGCTTACCCTGCTTTTCTTTCAAAACTTTGTTGATACAGTTTGTTTCGTGGTTCTTTCTTTTGTGTTTTGAATTCAGAACCCAGTTTTTTCGATTCAAAACAAAAAGTTGTTTGTTCTATACATTTTCATAAATTTTATTTTAAAGACAGAAGTAGAAAAAAATACAAACAAATGACGTCAATTCATGGGGATTTCTTTGCAGTGTCTTGTCTTCTTCTTAATGCCTTTGTGGGGGAACCCACTGTTCCAGACCTACCTCTACGCTTTATAAACATGTGCTGCTGAGTGCTTTAATTAAAAGGAAAATTTTTAATTTTCATCGCATTTATGAGACGAGCCAACAAAGACCGGTCGCCGCTTTGCCCTCGGGGGTTTTCAGTGTAAAATTTAAATAAATATGGAAAATATTGTTATTATTATTTTTTTCTTAAAAAGTAATTAAATTTTTAGGCACGTTCAAACAGCAAATAATTATTGTCGTCGTTGTTAAAATGCCGCATTGGCAATTTTTTTTTTCTGAATTTTGTTTAGCTGTTCTCATTGAAACTCGTTTGGAATATTTATTTGAAAAAAAAAACGAAAATTTGCAATTTTGTCACCACCACCGCGCTGTGGCTGCCTTTGGTGTGTGGGTTGTTTTTTGAATTTTTTTTCTTTGGATTTCAGGTCTCATCACGTGTTCCGACAACAACAAGAAAATACACATTTTTAGTTGTTTTATTTGAAAACTTGTCACCAACGTTGCAATGACCTTAAAATGTATTTTTTGACGTACCTCTTTTTATTTTTGTGCATTTTTTTTTTAAAGGTAACTCAAGTGGTTGGGAATATTCCACTCCGGTTAGTGGAAAATTTTTTTAAATTACAAAAAAAGAAAAATTCTGTCGAGAATTTTTTTTATAGAAAAAATATTCCCTAATAATAATCCTCAGAACAAGGGGGACCTATTTTTTTCCAATAAAAAAAAGAAATAAATAAATTAATAATATAAAAAAATATACAAATCGGATGAACAATATATATGAGGGAGCTATAGCTATATCTGAACCGATCTTCATCAAATTAAACATACTAGCTTCTAGACTCAATTCGGCCGTAAGTGCCATATTTCATTCCATTTGGGCAAATATTAGACATTTGGTGCACCTATAAAAGGTAAATCGGACGAAGTTATATGTGGGAGATATATCCAAATGTGAACCGATCTTGATAAAATTTTGGCAAAGGTATTTCTGAGCTGTATTTTATATATTTCCCTGAATATTGTTGTTACAGAGTGCATATTACGGCTGCGGAGGACTAAAATAACAAATCGGATGAACAATATATATGTGGGAGCTATAGCTATATATCTGAGCCGATTTCGATCAAATTTGTCATACCTCTTTTCAGGCATAATTTGGTTGTATGTGCCAAATTTCATACCATTTGGGCAAATATTAGACGTTTGGTGCACCTATAAAAGGTAAATCGGACGAAATTATATATGGGAGCTATATCCAAATCTGAACCGATCTCGATAAACTTTTGGCAAAGGTATTTCTGAGCTGTATTTGATAAGTTTCCCCAAATATTGTTGTTACAGAGTGCATATTACGGCTGCGGAGGACAAAAATAACAAATCGGAAGAACAATATATATGGGAGCTATAGCTAGATCTGAACCGATATCGATCAAATTTGGCGTACTTATTTTCAGGCCTAATTTGGTTGTATGTGCCAAATTCCATCCCATTTGGACAAATATTAGACGTTTGGGGCACCTATAAAAGGTAAATCGGACGAAGTTATATGTGGGAGATATATCCAAATCTGAACCGATCTCGATAAAATTTGGCAATGATATTTCTGAGCTGTATTTCATACATTTCCCCAAATATTTTTGTTGCAGAGTGCATATTACGGCTGCGGAGGACAAAAATAACAAATCGGATGAACAATATATATGGGAGCTTTAGCTATATCTGAAGCGATTTCAATCAAATTTGGCACACATATTTTCAGGCCTAATTTGGGTGTATATGCAAAATTCCATACAATTCGGGCTGATATTACACGTTTGGTGCACAATAAAAGGCAAATCGGACGAAGATATATATGGGAGCTATATCTAAATTTTGACCGATTATCTCCAATTTCAATAGGGTTCGTCTTTGGGCCAAAAAAAAGATCTTTGCTTTCATCTGGATCGGGCAATAAATGCGACTTGTACTTTGTTTACAAAAATACATGGACAGACAGACGGACGGACATGAATAAATCGACTCAGAATGTGATTCTATGCAGATCACCAAAAAGAACTATGGGTCTATCTAGTTTCCTTTTGCCTGTTACAAACAAAAATGCACAAAGACATAATACCCTAACCACCTTGTGGTGTAGTGTATAAAAAGCTGTGAGCTCTACCGGGGCCGAACTTTGAATACCCTCCACCATTTGGAACGAAATACCGAGTGTAGCCCCTATATTAGGGTCTATACGACGTCGTGGACCTGCATAGGCAACTTTTGTCATAAGCCATTACAATATTTAAATGCGAAACTTGAAAAAAATTCGGTGAATAATGTATCAAAAAATCATATACCAAAATGTGGACCTGCACTGACAATTTTCTGTCATAGGATGTAGTATCCATTATGAACTTCAAATGCCAAATTTGAAACAATTTTGGTGAATAATGTGGCTAAAATCATCAAAATACCGAATATCGGGAGGTACCATTATATGGGGGCTATACGAAGACGTGGGCCTGCACAGACAATCTCCTATCTTAGGCTGTAGTATCCATTACGAACTTCAAATACCAAATTTGCAACAATTCCGGTGAATAGTGTCGCTAAAATCATCAAAATACCGAATATCGGGGGGTACGGTCATATGGCGGCTATACGAAGACCTGGACCTGCACAGACAATTTTCTGTCTTAGGCTGTAGTATCCATCATGAACTTCAGATGCCAAATTTGAAACAATTCCGATGAATAATGTCGCTAAAATCATCAAAATACCAAATATCGGGAGGTACCGTCATATGGGGGCTATACGAAGACGTGGACCTACATGGCTCATTTTCTGTCTTAGGCCACAGTAACCATTACGAACTTCAAATACCAAATTTGAAACAATTCCGGTGAATAGTGCCGCTAAAATCATCAAAGTATCGAATATCGGGAGGTACGGTTATATGGAAGCTATACGAAGACGTGGATCTACATGGCTCATTTTCTGTCTTCGGCTGTAGTATCCATTACGAACTTCAAATACCAAATTTGAAACAATTCCGATGAATAATGTCGCTAAAATCATCAAAATACCGAATATAGGGAGGTACCCTTATATGGGGGCTATACGAAGACGTGGACCTGCACAGACAATTTTCTGTCATAGGCTGTAGTATCCCTTGCGAACTTCAAATACCAAATTTGAAACAATTCCGATGAATAGTGTCGCCAAAATCATCAGAATACCGAATATCGGGAGGTACGGTCAAATGGGGGCTATACGAAGACGTGAACCTACATGTCCCATTTTCAATACCAAAAGTCCTGCAGACATAATATACATTTGAGTAAAATTTTATCAACCTACTACATTTCGTTCGGAAGCTAGAGTGATTACCACAGACGGGTAGATGGATAGACGTACAGACAGACATCGCTAAATCGACATAGAATTTTATGCTGATCAAGAATATATGCACTTTATGGTATCTAAAATATATATTTCGAGGTGTTACAAACGGAATGACAAACTTTATATACCCTCCATGCCATGGTGGAAGGTATAAAAAATAATTTGACCATCGTTCCAAATAAATTTTCAATCCGCTATTCGCCATACACACATAATTCGTTCCAGTTTTGTTTTGAATTTTAATCGCGCTGTTATTATTCACGGTGCATGGCCAATGACGTCATTAGAATATATTTTTGTCCATTTTGCTCGCGCTCTCTCTCTCTCTCTAGACATATTTATTTTATTATTTTCTTGTTCATCCATATTGTTGGTCATCGCATAGATTAATTATTTTTTTATAGACGACGTTGTTGTTGTTGCCGCTATTGTTTTATTATTTAAACATTTTCTAGTGTCTATGCAAAATAGCTGCGATGACAGTGTGACGGTGACGGGGTCACGTGTTTCATGTTACTCATTATGTCCAGCAGCGTTATGCTGCCTCCGCTGCCGCTTCGTCGGCTATTTTTGTTGTTGTTGCTGTTGGTGTTATTTTTATTGTCGGCGAAATAGAAAACCTCCGAATATACTTAACACCCCAGAAGTGTAAACAAATTTGAGTAGCCGTAGTGTTTGGTATAGTAGCCCGAACTGATAAGACAAAACAGAATTCAAAACAACAGAACCAGAAACAGCAGCAGCAACGAAGCAAAAGAAAATTATGAAGATCATATGAAGTGATTCATGGGAAAAGGAAAATGGAAAATCTCTTTCGGAAAAACATTTTCTTAAAATTTTTTTTTGGAAGAATATCGTCCCCAGAATCTGGGGGTCCTATATTCTTCTATGGTCGAAAGACGATCTAGAGGTCTTCTATAGCCCATAGAGAACCTATAGGTTTTCTATGGGCCATAGAGTACCTGGGGATCTCCATAACTCATAGCGGTCCTGAATGTGTTCTATAGGCCATAGAGGTCTTCTATAGGCCATAGAAGACCTTAATGTCTTCTATGGGCCACATGGAACCTTAAGGTATTTTATAGTCCATAGAGGACCTAAGGGTCCTCTATATGCTATAGACACCTGAAGATCATTAATAGTCCATAGATAACCTCAATGTCTTCTATATGCCATAGAGGATCTTAAGATCTTCTTTGGACCATAGAGGACTTGAAGGTCTTTTATAGGCCATTGAAGAGCTGTAGGTCTTCTATAGTCCATAGAAGAGCTGGAGGTCTTCTATAGTCCATAGAAGAGCTGGAGGTCTTCTATAGTCCATAGAAGAGCTGGAGGTCTTCTATAGTCCATAGAAGAGCTGGAGGTCTTTTATAGTCCATAGAAGAGCTGGAGGTCTTTTATAGTCCATAGAAGAGCTGGAGGTCTTCTATAGTCCATAGAAGAGCTGGAGGTCTTCTATAGTCCATAGAAGAGCTGGAGGTCTTTTATAGTCCATAGAAGAGCTGGAGGTCTTTTATAGTCCATAGAAGAGCTGGAGGTCTTCTATAGTCCATAGAAGAGCTGGAGGTCTTCTATAGTCCATAGAAGAGCTGGAGGTCTTCTATAGTCCATAGAAGAGCTGGAGGTCTTCTATAGTATAGTCCATAGAAGAGCTGGAGGTCTTCTATAGTCCATAGAAGAGCTGGAGGTCTTCTATAGTCCATAGAAGAGCTGGAGGTCTTCTATAGTCCATAGAAGAGCTGGAGGTCTTCTATAGTCCATAGAAGAGCTGGAGGTCTTCTATAGTCCATAGAAGAGCTGGAGGTCTTCTATAGTCCATAGAAGAGCTGGAGGTCTTCTATAGTCCATAGAAGAGCTGGAGGTCTTCTATAGTCCATAGAAGAGCTGGAGGTCTTCTATAGTCCATAGAAGAGCTGGAGGTCTTCTATAGTCCATAGAAGAGCTGGAGGTCTTCTATAGTCCATAGAAGAGCTGGAGGTCTTCTATAGTCCATAGAAGAGCTGGAGGTCTTCTATAGTCCATAGAAGAGCTGGAGGTCTTCTATAGTCCATAGAAGAGCTGGAGGTCTTCTATAGTCCATAGAAGAGCTGGAGGTCTTCTATAGTCCATAGAAGAGCTGGAGGTCTTCTATAGTCCATAGAAGAGCTGGAGGTCTTCTATAGTCCATAGAAGAGCTGGAGGTCTTCTATAGTCCATAGAAGAGCTGGAGGTCTTCTATAGTCCATAGAAGAGCTGGAGGTCTTCTATAGTCCATAGAAGAGCTGGAGGTCTTCTATAGTCCATAGAAGCGCTGCAGATCTTCTGTAGTCCATAGAAGAGCTGCAGGTCTTCTTTGGTCCATAGAAGAGCTGCAGGTATTTTTTAGCCCATATATGAAGTGCAGGTCTCTTGTAGTCCATAGAGGATCCGGAAGGTCTTCTATATGCCATAGAGAACCTAGAGGCCTCCTATAGGCCATAGAGAACCTCGATGTCTTCTATAGTCCGTAGAGGACCTCGAGGTCATGCATAGTCACTTCTATGAACCTCCATAGCTCATAGAGCATCTCAAGAACTTCTATAGGCCATTGGAGGACCTAGAGGTCTTCTGTAGTCTGTAGAGGACCTGGTCTCCTATATATGCCATATAGGACCTGACGGTCTTATGTATGCCATGCTTGAGGGTCTTCTATAGCCCATAGAGGGCCTGGAGCTCATTTATAGATAGCTCATATAGCTTAAGACCATAAGAAACCTGGAGGTCCTCTACGGTCCATAGAGGACCCGGACGCCTTCTCAGGTCCATAGATGTATTTTAAGATTCATAGGAGTCTTGTAGATTGTCTACGGTTATTAGGAGACCTTAGGGTCTTCTATGGTCCATAGGAGTCCTGTAGGGCTTGAAGGTCCTCTATAGTCCATACAGGACCTGGAGGCCATATATAGTTTTCATAGAAAATCTGAAGGTCTTATATATTTCATAGATGAACTGAAGGTCTTCTTTACGCCATAGAGAACCTGAAGATATTCTGAAGTCCACAGGGGAACAGAAGGTCTTCTAAACGCCATAGAGGACTTGAAGGTTTTTTTTATATACGAATAGAGGACCAAATATGCCATAGGAGACTTAAAGGTCTTCTCTGATCCATAGATGTTCTTGAAAAAAATTGCTATTGAAAAAAATTGGTCCCCGGTTTATGGGGAGCTTTTGAGTTTTTTTATCGGAATAATCCAGAAATGGGGGGACAACATTTCTGGATTATTCCGATAAAAAATCTCAATTTTTGGTGATATTTTTTCCCCATTTTCTGGGGACGTTTCATAATTTCTGAGCATTTTATGATTCTTGGGCATTTTATGATTCTCGGTTGGGGTTCATGTTTTGTCTCCTCATTCAATTAATTCCAGTATGATGTCCATCAATTCCTAATAAGGTTTCATCTCATATCCAACCCCAAAACTTCGTTTTGGGTTAATTAAATAATTGATTACGAGTAATTAATTATTCCCACAGCAGGCCATAACTGCCTGGCAGATGTCAAAATCCTAAAAACAAACAAAAGTTGTTCCATTTATTTCCTCATTATTTATTGGTTCAATGAAATTATTCTACGAAATATTTAATTGTGACACACATTGCAGGAACAAGATGCCCGGCTGCCGTCGTCAAGGCCCTCAAGTGCGCCGGCCGAACCAAATGCCAAAGCGGCTCGAAAAGCCTCCAAAAAGATGAAAGAAGAAGCTCGGTGAGTATTTACCAAATTTTCTTATGAATTTTAGAAAATAATATCTCCATATCTCTCTCTAGACGCCAGGAGAAAGAAGCCAGCCGCCGTGAAAAAGAAGCCCGCAAAATTGAACGTGAAACCGCTCGCCGCCTCGAACGCGAAGCAGCCAAGCTGGAAAAACTTAATCGCAATGCTGAAAAGATATCACGCAGTACCGAGCGAATGGCGGCCACACCTCGTTCCGGTTCGCTGGAACGAAGACGTAGCGGTGAAGATTCGCCGGTCCTAAATCAATCCACTGTCCACGGCATAGCCAGTCCCAATCGTAGACCAACGATTTTCGATGTGTTTCGTCCGCGCGCCAAATCGGATGCCAAGAAACAAAATAAACTGCTACTCGATCCCCTGTCGGCAGCTGCTGCCGCGACTGGTAATGAAATGGGCAGTGCCAGCAGCACCCATTCCTCCGGAGGAGGTGGCGGCGGCGGTGGTGGCACTGGTGGCGTTATGAATTCCATGAAAGTAGCTTTACAAAATTCCGGCCTTATTGGTGGTAGCCATCATCATCACAAGCAGCATCCCGCCGTGACGATAACCTCTGCCGATGGCACAACCTCCGTTAAGAACAAGTACAAAGATGGTTCGGCCCATCCGCATCAGGGTAGTGATGCTCATGTGAGTTTTGATTTTTTTTTTCAATGGAGGATAAATGATTTAATTTTTATTGTTGTTGTTGTCGTTTTTTGTTGTAGTACTATCACACTGTGACGGCTGTAAGGCGTGCCGATGTTTCCCGTTCACCAATGACCAAAGTAATGGACTTGTTTAGACATCGTTCCAATTCAGCAGCCTCCGAAGCCGATAAGCGTAAAGCGGTAAGTTTTATTTTCTATTGCTTTAATCCTAGATAGGGTTGAAGAGATAGGTTTCGATTTGAAATTCGGAGACCATTCTAAGAAAATTTAAAAAAAAAAATTAACAAAAATATTCAGCTTCTAAAAATTACAAAAATCAACCCTTTTATAGTAGCTCGGATTTGCCTTCAAAATATTTGCCTTTGAAATCCCTTATTTTAGTCCTTCTAGTCCTTGATGTTTACAAGAACAGCGGGAGCCTTGAAGGAAGGGGTTTCTTGAAAAAAATTCAAAGTTACAAATTTGGAATTTTGAATAAAGAATTTTTAGAATTTTTAATAAAAGGCAAAGGCATAGCCAGACAAGTTCCTATAGTCGCCAATGACCCTGTGGCTACTCGATGTTTTATTTTAACCCTCACTACCACGTAGGCTGTCTTAATCGAAATTAGTTTCATTTCCCCAAGTTGAGAGTAATAAAGACCCCTACCGCGATTTCGACCTCGGTCATGTTTGGTGAGAGTAGGGAAGAAGTTTTATGTGTTAGAATTTTTCCGAATTTATTTTACGGACCCATTGTACCAAGATTTGTTGAAGAATATTTTTGGAGAACAATCGGAGCCTTTAAGGAATGGTTTTTTGGTATATTTATTTTAAAATCTGTTAAAGTTCCGGATTTCATAAAACAAGTCCATAGCCAGGCGAGTTCCCACAGTCCCCTTTGACATCATTGCTATTCGATGTTTTCTATTTCTTCCTAACTTTCACCTAGCCTCTCCTTATCGATATTACTTTCATTCCCCAAGTTGAGAATAATAATTAGCAATGCCATCTGAAGACTCCTACAGCGATTTCGACCTCGGCCCTTTGTTTGATGAGAGTAGGGAAGAAGTTTTATGAGTTCATATATCTAACCCAGACCGACAGAGCTAGAAATGCAATAATTTTGGCGAAAATATTTTAAGGACCCACAGTACCTCCAATCAAGATTTGTTGAAGAATATTTTTGGAGAGCTATCGGAACTTTTATAGAATTGTTTTGGTAAATTTTTTTTTTGGTGTATCAAAGTTCCAGTTTTCATATTTTTTGAAAGATAAACAGGTCCATAGCCCATAGTCCCCATTGACATCGTTGTTATTCGATGTTTTCTATTTCTTCCTAACTTTCACCTAATCTCTCCTTATCGAAATTACTTTCATTCCCCAAGATGGAAATAATAATAGCAACGGCGTCTGAAGACCCCTACCGCGATTTCGACCTCCGCCCTTTGTTTGGTGAGGGTAGGGAAGAAGTTCATATACATAACCCCGGCAGAAAAAAACAATATAAAATTATAAGGGACCTGCAAAATATGTCTAAAATATTTTATGAACCTGTAGAAAATCTAATCAGGATTTATTATAGAATTTAGAACCTACAATCAAAGCCATATAGAAAGGTTTTTTTCAATAATTTTGTACGTCTAACCTTTAAAGGTTGACATTTTAGGATTTTTGAAAGTCAAGCACGGCATAGACCAACAAGTTCGTATAACCCCCGAAGACATTGTAACTACTCGAAGATATCTATTTTTTCCTCACTCTCAGGTAGCCTGTCGTAATCGACATCCCTTTGATTCCACACCTTTAGAGTATTACTTTGCCGAGTAGAGAAGAAGTTTTTGTGAGTCTATATAAATCTCAGGATGTTTTGAGGGCCCTTAATTGGGTTTGCTTTTCCATCTTCTAAAGTAGATTGCTTTAAAAGTCCATGTTCCTTTGAAACAAATACAGATCCGTGAGTTTTTTAAATAAATATTTTTGAACAAAGGAAGAACTAAAAAAAATACCTTTTTTCCAAAAATTTTATGGACCTATAGAACCTATAATCAAAATTAATTTAAGAACATTTTCAAAAAAACAATAGAAGCCTTTAAGTAGGGGTTTTTTGGATTAATTTTCGAAAGTCAGTTTAGAATTTATAATAAAGTTTTTCGAAAGAAAGCCAGTGACATAGACAGACGATTTCCCATAATCCTTGGAAATATAGTAGATCTTTGATTGTCTCCATACCTTCCCAGCCTGTAAGGAAGTATTTTTATTTCGAAAGGATATATGAGGATATATTTTCAAATAGATATTAGATGTTTAACTTTGTGGAAATTGTCCGTAATGTATTCTCGTATTTGTCCGTAATCGCGTCTGTGTGAATACAATCGAGTCCTTTCTAATAGACGGATACGGAAGAAAAGGCTCTTATTGAACTCTCAACCATATAGCCATTGAAGTAACGACTTTACGGCCAAGGTCTCTTTAGACCAAATCCGTTTCATCCGTCTGGCTGACTGGTGAGCAGAATAACTCTCGCAAGAATTGTCCAATTTGCTTCTAACTTGGTACATCGTAGTATTATTATTAAATTTAGCTCAAGTTCGGAGATGGGAAATATCGGTCCACTCCTTCTGGTACCTCCCCCACAAAAGGTCAAAATTTTCACAAAAAATAATTTACTTCATAGAACAAGAAAATATCGCTCAATTTTGAGCAAACTTTGCAAATCTCGATATTTTCATCAGTGTTAGGTGAGGTACGATAATGGAATATATCGGACCATTTCATGAAGTATCTCTCCCACATAGGGTCAAAATGTGAAATAATTGTAACTCTTATAAAATGTGAGATAAGATTCCGATTGTCTTCAATATTTTTATCAACACATGATGTAGTGCAGAGATGGGACATATAGGTTCACTTCTTCAGGTACATGAATAATAATCCTCTTCTCTCTTAAAAATTTGAAATAAGTTTCCCATGGTCTTCAAATTTCACACATCCTATTTTTTTACTAATCTGGTATCAAGAACAGATAGAAAGGACCATTCCTTCTGGTACCTCCGCACAAAGGGTCAAAATTTTGAAAAACCGTGACGTTCATAAAAGGCGAAATAAGCATCCGATTCTTTTCAAACGTGGCACCTTCACCTTTTCAAACGTGGCACCTTCACCACCTTTTCAAACGTGGCTAATGTTTACAACAACACAAGATCTACTATGAAGATGGGATATATCCGCCTACTCCATCTGGTACCTCTCCCACAAAGAGTTAACATTTTGAATAATTATAACTCCTATAAATGCGAAATAATTATCCGATTCTCTTAAAATAATGCGCATCCCAATATTTCTACCTGCACAAGACCAGGTGCGAAGATGGTGGATATCGATTCACTTCTTCTCATACCTCCCCTACAAAGGGTCAAAATTTTGTATAACCATGACGCTCATACAAGGCGAAATAAGCATCCGAAACATTTTCAATGTGGCACATCCTAATATTTCCACCAACACAATATTTAGTATGGATATGGGATATATCCACCTACTCCTTCTGGTACCTCCCCCACAAAGGGTCAACATTTTGAACAATTATGACTTCTACAAAATGTATTACAAGAGTTCGATTCTCTTCAAATTTCACACATTGCAATATTTTTATTAACAAAATATCTGGTGTAAATATGGAATATATCGGTCCACTCCTCCTGGTACCACCTCCCCCACAAAAGGTGAAAATGTTGAATAATTTGTTCTCTCATAAAATGCGAAATATAACATCTGATTCTTTCTAAACTTCGAACATTCCAATACTTCTACTGACACAAGACCTGGTGCGAAAATGATAGATATCGGCCCTCCCCCATAAAGGTAGTACAGATTAATGACCTTCTAGTAGTCCTCCTTTAAAGCCCATAATATTTCTACAAAACTTTTGTAGTTGCAAGTTCTTCTCCCATTCTTCTTCTGGTACCTCCCCCACAAAAGTACCACAGATTTAGTAGTAGTTCTTTTTAAGTCTGGAATATTTTTTCGAAATTTTTATGGTTGAAAGTCCTCCTACAATTCTACTGGGAGAACTTTTAAAATTGTAAAACATTAGTGCCCCGAAATTATGTTTTCAGGTCCACAGGATTTCAAGGCATGTTGCGGGTCTTCTATATGTGTAAGACATTTTATATATTATTTGTACCGTTGGTACATTTAGCAAAGGCAGATGTTTGCATATATCTTTTATAGGCCCTTTTATGGGTCTTCTAATGTCTTCACTCTCGAATTTCACCTTTCCAACAGAATATTTCACCACCTGGTCGTTGTTACACAAGTGGTTATGTTGTTAAATATGGTGTATGTCTTCGCTATTATTATTATAAAACTTAGCTAGGATTCCATCCATTATGTTGGCATGGTGGTGGGGAATACGATTTGTGTTGAATTTAAAACTGGGCAATGAATACTATTCTACTCTAGATGGCGCCAGACAAGATTTTGTCTGATCCTCTATAATAGTTGACGATTTGCTATATTGACAGACCTTATTAAGGGAAATTTTATATTTTAAGGTTTTTTTTAACAACTAAGTGCACTTTTTTTCTTGTTAAAAAATTTTGTTACAATTTTATGTGAAAAAGAAGTTTTCCCTTATAAGTTAGTTAATAAAAAGTTAGCTATTTGAAACACTATATTTTAATTTTTTTTAACAGAGGCTATTTTATTTCAAAAATATATGTGAATAATTGTCATCATTTACTACTGTATTAATAGGAAGGGTAAATCGATTACTATTTGAACAAAGAAAAATATAATGAGGTTAAAAGGTGGTAATTAAAATTGAGCAGAAACTTCCCATATATGTACTATCCTTACAAGCTTTGACCCGATAAAATTTTTATTTGTTCCTTAAGTATGAATCTCCTTTTAACACTTATTTTTTGAACAATACTTTGAGGAAGCTAAGCTGAAGTGAAGTCAATTTTTACAAATTTAGCATCACACATTATATTTCCCCTCAAATAAGTGGCCTCATTATTGACAGTTTCTTAATGTTGTTTGTGGGTGTCTAAATATTTGATAAAAAAAAAAATAATTAACATCTCCAAAAAAAAACATTCAGCTTTTGTTCACTTTCAATCGTGTTGACCAAATTTGTTTTAAAATCGCACGCGTTTTTGTTTCCAATATTTATTTTTAGCACTTAACATTCAAATT